AGTGTTAAATTAGTCTTAGAGGGCAACTTAGCCCTAGGACAAGCCTTTTTATAGGCTCCTACTGCTATAGCTGTAGCTATGTTAAAAGTAGTAAAAAGAATTAAAGCTTAAATATAAGTTAAAGCCCTTATAAAAATAAAATTAAAATAGTAAAAATTTTTAATAAGTGCTAGTAGCGCTACTTGCGTAGACTTAAAAAAGAAAAATAAAGTAGTTTTAGAAAATATAACTATGCTTACTACACTTAAAGTATTAACTTTTTTTTTATAATCTTTATACTTTTTAGAACTAACTAAAGCATAATTTAAATTAATTTTTATTACATTAAAGTTCTTATTTGCAACTGCGCTAGTTTAGGGGCGTATTAGAGCTTGTATAGAGAGGAACCTTATATTATTATTATAGGTAGTAATTAGGTTTACATACGCGTTAAGGTTGTTTAGAAGGGGTTCTTCTACTATAGCGCGTTGCAGTTTAGTTAAGAGGGAGTTATATAAGGCTATAATTAAACCTATTTTATTTAGTCCTATATTAAATGTAAGTTAGCAGAACTTAGTAAAGTGTAAAGTAAAGCTTTTTTTTTTATTATAAAGTGTTTAGGTAACTTAAGGCTGTTAACTTTTTATTTAAGTCTTTATAAGTTACTTATAAAAACACTATAAATTAATTTAAGTTAATAATATTCTTATTTATTAGTAAGTTAATTAAGGCTATTATATTATAGTTAAGTTAAAAGTAGGTGTATAGTAACTAAAAGTGTTTAAAAGGGAATTAGTCTACATTTTCTTTAAGTTTATATTAAAGCTTATATAAAAAAGAAAGTAAGTCTTTCTATTTTCTATTAAATAGCAAAGGATTAGAGAGTTAGTTAGATTTTATTACTAAGTTAAAAAAGTTATAGGTTATAGATAGTGTTAAGTAAGAAAAAGTTAAGCTATCTTTAGACTTCTAAGTAAGCTTTAAGGCTAGTAAGTTCTTAGTTTCTACTACTATAACAGAAGTTAAGGCAGAAATAGACTGCTTAATAATATAAAGCTATTTTTTAAAATTCTTTTAAAAAGCTTTAAAGCTTACAACATAGTAGCTTTTCTATAAAGTAAGCGCTTTTTAAAAGGCTTCTTAGCTTACTTTAATAGCTTAAAGTTATGTAAGTACTAAGCTTATTAGATTAAATTTAGAAGCTATTTTTAGCTAAAGTTTTAACACAACATAATGTTATAATTATGTATAAGTAAAGTTATAGAGCTTTACAGAGGTCTAGTTTAATTACTACATAAAATATTATAGTAAGTATAAGACATTATGTAAAGAACAAGAAGGTTTAGAAGAAAATTAGTAATTAAATACTTAGCTTAGAAGTCTAAGTGCTTTAGGTATAAATTAAGCCTGTTTTAGGTTTAGTTAGTGTTAAAGCAGTTTATGCTTAAGTTTATGTCTGTGTTGTGTTGTGTTTATGTCAGACATGCACTAATAATACTCTAGTACGCGTCCAATACAGTTATGTCTAGGATCTGGGGAGGATACTGTGACATAGTTAAAAAATTAACTTTTACTTTTTACACTAAAACATTGTCTTCTATAGCTTTAGTTAAAGTAGGTAAGGCACCTTTTAAATATATATATAATAAAAAAAGCTAGAAACTAGCTACATATATAAGCTAAAGAATACAGAGGCAAGATCCTAATAACCTAGGTAAGCCTAGGGGTGCAGAAAGCAGAGGTATATATATAACGCTCTTAAAAAGAAGTAGTATACACCTAGCTCTAGTTAATCTAGAGCACCTTTATATAAACTTTTTTAAAGCATTTATTATTTACAACAACAGAGCACTTAAAACACTTTACATAGTGTTTTTTATAGCTACTTTTTTAAGCAGCTTTAACTAAAAGCTTATAAGCTCTTAAAGAAACTTTTAAAATAAAAAGATCTATAACGTACCTAACAGGTTAGCCGGCCACACAGGTTGGCCGGCCACTTTTGCTAAGCCCCTACTAAACTCTACCTATCTACATAATGCCTTAACAACAACACTAGATTAAATCTTCTAAAGAACATTAAATACAGCTTACTCTTTAAGCTTTTAAATAAGACTTAAAACTCTTCTTACAACACACTGCAGCTATTTATAATGTCTTTTACACAACACTAAGCAATTAACGCGCTAGACAGCCTTTATAAGCAGAATGCTAGCCTAAATTAAGAAATCTAACTAAGCTTAAAAAAAAAGTAGTTGTTAAGTACATACTTAAGCTTATTACACGCAGATTTCCCTCTAGGCTTGTAGCTATAGCTAATATAGCTAATTCCTTACCTGCAGAGCGTAATCTAGGCTAGGTTAGCTTAAACTAGACTAGTATGTAAGTTAAGCACTGCTCTAAGTTTATAATAAAGTTTAATTATAAGTTTAATTATAAGAGAGCGCTTTATAAAGATCTAGAAGTTATCTAGGGCTAGTTTTACCTAGTAGCTAACATAAAAGCTAAGTATAGTATCTAGAATAAAGACAAGTATAACTTTAACAAGTTAAGCTTTATAATAGGCTAGATATTAACTAAAGCAGTTATTACAGCTTTAGAGAGACAAAGACAGCTAAAGGCAATATAGTAAGGTAATAAAGAGTAGATAATAGTTATCTAGGGCATTAACATAATAAGGTAGGCTATAAGATTATAAAGCTTTAAGCAGCAAATAAAGCTGCTACATAACATAGATTACATAAAAGAAAGCAGATTTAGGTAGAAAAAACCTTAATAGTTAAGAATAAAGCTTATCTAACTGCTCTAAAGGAGTTTAAAGCGCGTAGTAATAGGAAAAAGCTAAAGACATAGGTGCGCGCTAAAGAAGGTAAGCTAAGTTAAAAGCAATGCAGGCAGTGTAATTAGACTAGGCATAACTTGCGTACATGTAAGTAAGTAGCAAAAGTAGACTCTAATTAATATCTTATGTTGTATTACTCTATACAGGGCTAAAGTAGGCTGTTTTGCGAGAGAATAGAGTAGTTTTAGTGGGGGCTTAGCAAAAGTGGCCGGCCAACCTGTGTGGCCGGCCAACCTGTTAGGTACGTTATAAATACTTATATAAAAATCTTTTTAAGATTATAGCATAGAAAAAGATAGCTACCCTACATAAAAAAAGCACTTAAAAAAAGATTATATAAACTAAAGTAACATCTAAGCTGCTTTTACTAAAGTAAGTTTTTATATATAAATTTAACTAGAATAAGTATTTTACTAAATGTAAAGCTTATATATGCGTACATAGTAATCTCTAGAGTAAGAACTTGCTCTAGTTAACCTATGCTGCTACTCTTACAGCTAGATTCTTCTAAACAGTAATAGTAATAGCAGCTTAATTTAACCTAAAGATTAAGTAATATAATGTTATAAGCGCGTTTCTAAACACGCACTATAAAGGTAAGCTAGAAGTAACATGTAAGCTTTTAAAAGGCTTTATAAAGCCTAGCATATGCGTTAAGCTTCTATAAGCTCTATATAGACTACGCAACTTACTAATTTTGTAGTACTAGAAGCTCTTATAGGCTTTTTAGAAGCTTAAGCTTATTTTATTTAAAAAAAAAGCTGTGCTTATTTTTTAACTATAATTACTATATTTTACTTTTTTTTATATAGACAACATACTCTATATTTATTACTATAATAATAAGTTAAAAGCTTACTAATTAATTAGTGTAATTAAGAAAATGTATAAGCTAAAAGATTAAAAGCTATGTAAAAAGTTTCTAAAGATTAAAATAATTAAAAATAAAAATGCTAAGATAATTTAGCTAGTACATAACATGTATATTAAGAAAGTAGTAAAGAAGTTTAACTTTACAGAAAGCGCGCTTTTCCTAAGGACTCTCTTACTATTAAAAGAGCTTATAAGTAACTAGGGATTAGTAATAAAGCATAAAATTAAAGAATACTAAGAGCGCGTAGGATTAACACTATATACTATAACTATAGTGCGCCCTAACATAGCGTTTACAGCATCCTAGCTCTTCTACTACCTAATAAACCTAAAAAAGCAGCACTTTTAGGCAGTAAACTAGGTAATTGTGTACCTATACTGCATAAGGTATACAGGCATATAGTATAAAGCACTAGAAGGTGCGCAACTTATTATGTATAGAGACACATCTTTTGCTAATTATATAGAAACTAGATAATTATTTTATAAATACATTATTTTACTTTTTAAAGAACTAATCTTATAGAAAGTAGCTTTCTAGCTAATAGTAACTATGTTTATAATAAAAGCTAAGCTACTTACTTTAGCGCACATTATAAAGAAATTACTAGCTTTAAAATGCTTCTTTAAAGAACTTACTCTAAAGCTAGGCACACTGTAGTAGATCTACTGTAACAACTAGCAGACAATTAGGTTAGTAGTAGAGAAGAACGCCTAGATAACTACTTACCTGCGCCACATTAATATTTAGAATATGTAGCTGCGCTAGGAGCACATAAAAGGATCTTTTAAAGTGCGCTATATTAAAACAAGCAACATGCTAGTAGATAGGCTTATAAAGCACTTACTAAGGCAGTAATTTAAGTACTTTAAGCAGCTTCTTAATTTTAAAGACACATAAACAAGCTTTTAAAGAAAGAAAGTGTTAATTATTAATAGTAAAGACATTTCTACACTGCCTAGAAACAAGAGTTCTATTTACTAGTAGGGACACTCCTCTATGCTATAGAGTTTAAGCAGGGATTTAATACATAAAATGTGTAAAAACATAGAAAACATAGAACACTTAAACTATAAGGAGATTAACAAGCTTACCTAAGAGCTCCTTAGCGCGCTGGCGACGCGCTAGGAGCCTAGGGGAGACAACACCCTGCTCCTCCTCCTCCACCTCCTCCACCTCCTCCACCTCCTCCACCTCCTCTTCCACCTCCTCTTCCTCCTCCTCTTCCTCCTCCTCTTCCTTCTCCTCCTTCTCTACTACTTTCTCTATAACATCTTCTTTAAGCAGAGCTTAAACTACTAGCTAAAGCTAGGACGCAGCCTATAGCCTGTTAGTCTAATCTAAGGTATAACGCACAATCTCTGCAGAGAAGCTTACCTGCTTGTCCTCTGCAATAAGCGCTGCAACAAAGCGCCGCATATAGACAACAGTAACAGGGGGACTGCAAATAAGTTAAAAGCTAGATTACCCTACACACTACTACAGGGCTTACAGGGGCAGGCAGCTGTGCCTAGAGGAATAGCGCTAGCAGCGCAAACTGCTAGTAGCGGAATCATAGCACTCCCCACTAGAGCGCCCTGCGAGCGCACTCTTTATGCAGCCTAGACAGGACTGCGCGCGGAGCGCACCAGGGGGAGGCCGGCGGGGAGTGGAGGCCGGGCCGGGGAGCGGGCGCCGGCGGGGGCGGGCGCAGGGCGGCGGGGGGTAGTGGGCGCGGGCTTACAGGCAACGCGGCCCCGCAGAGCGGCAGCACGCAAGCAGGCAGCTCTTTTAGCTTTGTTAAGCTACAGATGCACGTTAGCAGAGATTGCAGACAGGTTTAAAGTTTGTTCTTAAAGCTCTTAAAAGCATTAACTTACATGCAGCATGTTAGTTAGACTTACAGAAAAGAAGCTTAGAGGGCAGAAGAGTTTATTTACCTCTGTTGCAGCGATCACAGCACGCACGTGACCTGCGCTGCCTAGGGAAACAAGCATTGCGCTGCCTAGGGAAACAAGCATTGCGCTGCCTAGGGAAACAAGCATTGCGCTGCCTAGGGCAACAAGCACAAACACAGGGTAAACACGCAGCGCTGCTCTAACAAGCCAAGTTAACGCTTAACGCAGGTGAGCTGCGCAGCAGCTCACCTAGGGGGTGTGTCGCGTATACTAAGAGCCTTAGCTAGGGCTCAGAGCCTAGGACTAGGGGCTCAGAGCCTGGGACGCAGCTTAGGATCTGGAGATATTATGTTCCAAAGCTTAGTGTATATAAGGAGAGCCTTTAGCTCTCTTAGATAGCGGAGTTACTTTATCTGATCTTCTGAACAGCTACTGCCAGGCTATTTTATCCTCCACAACTTTCTTAAACACTTTAACTATAAAAGTTAGTAAACTATTTATATACTTTTAAATTTTTATTTTTATAAGCATTAATTATAACTTAAGTTTTAAAGTATTACTTAAAGTTTATAACTACTAGGGCTTATTATATACAAGTAGTAGTAGTAATAAAGTGTGTAACTTTATATTAAGGCCTATTATAACTTATTATAAGTTAAAAAAAACTAATCTAGCGCCTTAAAACTTTTTTTAAATATTACTAAAAGGAATTATAGTATTATAAGCTGCTTTAAAGCATAGTAAAAACTTTATTTTTATAATATAAGTAATCTAGTTGTGTATAAGGTTTTTAGCTTAGCACTTATACACCTTTTTTAAAAAAGTAAAATAACCTACATTAAGTAGCTATAAAAAGTGTAATAAGTAAAAAAGCATATAAATAGTAATAATTTTGTTATTTTTATAGTATTACTAAAAATAAAGTAAGTTATAGCTCTTATAGCTGTTAATAACTAGTAGATAGTAGCTACTAACAGTACACTTCTTTATATGCGCGTTAAAGTGCTTTAACTAGTCTAAACTAAGCTAATTAGTAGTCTAGCTATGCTTAAAGATTATAATAACTTAATTTTAAAGTAGATTTTTCTTTTTATACTAGTTTAAAAAGTAGTTGCTACTCTAAAAGATAATAAAAAGCAAAATAGCCTACTTTTTAGCATTAACGCCCTAGATAGCTATTGTCTACTTCTAGTTGCCTAGCTAGACTGCTTTTAGCTGTTTTTATCTCTCTAAACTTATAATAACTGCTCTAGTAGATATCTAGCCTATTATAAACTCTATCTTATTAAAGTTATACATGTTATTATTCTAGATGCTATACTTAGCTTTAATATTCTTTATAAGGTTAAACTAGCTTTAAATTACTATAAAAATTTTATAAAAAGCTTTTTTATAGTTATACTTACACTTAAACTTTACTTTAAGCTTTAAGTAACACTTAATAAATATATTAAGCTAGTTTATGCTAATATAGCGTATATTATGCTTAATATATAAAGAATTAGCTATATTAGCTACTGTCACGATTGTGCACGAGTAAGGTTATAGAGCTTCACGGAGGTCTAGTTTAATTACTACGTGAGGTATTATAGTAGGTACAAGACGTTGTGTGAGGAATAAAAAGGTTTAGAAGGAAATTAGCAGTTAAATACTTAGCTTAGAAGTCTAAGCGCTTTAAGTATAAATTAAGCCTGTTCTAGGTTTAGTTAGTGTTAAAGCAGTTTGTGCTTAAGTTTATGTCTATATTATGTTATATTTATGTTAGACGTGCACTAATAATACTTTAGTACATGTCTAATATAGTTATGTCTAGGATCTAGGGAGGATACTGTAACAGTACCCCCCCTTTTATTAGAAAGAGAATTCTTTATATTAGTAGTTCTAGCATTAAGTTGTCTTTATTAGAGTACAGGTTTAGTTTAGATAGGTATTAAGCGTAGAATTAGGTTACTGCAGAGTTCTCTTGCAGGGCTTTTGCAGGTTCCTATAACAGTTTATTATATCTAGTTTATTTTATAAAGTATTTATAAATATATTTCTTTTTATTAAACTAAATCTATTTAACATCTTTTATAATATATTCTAGTTTATTGTTTATAATAATAGGTTTAAGTAGTAAGTTTAGCTATCTAGGTAGATAGTTAGATTTAGAGGCTGCTTAGCGCAGCAATAATACATAGAACACAGGGTGTATCTTTATGCTGTTAGGTAGGATTAATTAGTAAGTGTGTAATAAGACTATATAAGCTACTATAAAGAAGCTAAGGTTTTTCTAATTAAGTTTCTTTAATTATTAGTTTATTTAAATATTTCTAGTATCTAGCTAGACCTTCTTGCTAGCTGCATACATAAAGGCAGAGGTTTAGAATTAGTTTATGTACTCTTATTAAAAAGCTTAAGCCTATGTAAGCTTTTTATAAACATATTTAAATATATTTTAAATTTTATTAATAAGTCTATTTACATTTATTACTTATATAGATTAATAAGTTAGTTAGAGAGTATTTAAAAGTAGTTTAAATTCTATTTAAAGGTAGTATCTGTAGTTTACTAAGAACAAAAATACTTATGTTAATTTAAATGTTATGTTATTAGCTTTAAACTATGCTGTAGCTAACTATTTTACCTAGTTGTCCTACTAGTAGTTTATGTACACTTATAGGACTTATTTTATTACAGCATTTATGTTCTTAGTCTAGCTATTAGTCTCTAGGTAAAAAGCTGTAGATAGATAGGAGACAATTTAGAGCTGTTTATAAAGTTTGTTCTAAAAGGCTAAGACAAACTGCGTACCCCTGTCTAATATAATTATGTTAGGCAGGCTATAGTAAACTTATACGTATTAGTAGAATAACTAGGCTATATTAAAGGCAGTTATAGAGGAACATAGTATTAAGTGTTAATACTTAGTTAAGTAATTAATAACTACTATAATATTTATATACCCTTTAGATAAAAGTAGGTTTATAATAAAATTAATTAATATATCTTTCTAAGCTTATTTAAGAATTAGAAGCAGTTTAAGTAGGCTATTATACCTTTTTTAAAAGGCTTTTACTTTATAGTAAGTATAGCAACATAATACATATTAGCGTATAGTATAGAACATGCAGGGCTAGTAGTACTCTCTCTGTAGTAGGTTAAGAGTCTTT